TCTCCGCCCACTCTGGGATGTATCTCTGTACATGAATTGTCTGATAATCCTGTGTACTCAATGTAAGGATCGGGACAATTTCCTCTTTTTGTGATCCCACATTCATCATCATAAGAAGGAATCCTTCATTCCTGAGAAGATCGCGCTCCGTATCTCCAGGACGCCGTCCAGTGAGTGTACTATGGAGATGGCATTTATTTCTGGATTTATTTCTGTAACTTGTTTTATTATGAAGCGCTAATTAATAAAGAACCACAAAACCCAAATGGGACTTTACTGGCACAGAAAACAGACCACCTCATAATACTCAGGGGTGGACTGAGCATTCTTACACTCAGGCACTGCCCAAGGGCCCGGGGTCAGTAGGGGGCCCCATGAGATGCCCCTGGTACCTTTCATAGGCTGTTTTGGGTGTGGTTTGAGTGTGGGTGAGGACACAGGAACCCCATGATCCCTAATTGCCCGGGGGGGCCCCATGAGTTGGCAGTCCACCCCTGATATTACTGTATAAAACATGTTTATTGAAACATATCTTCCAAACATTTACCATAAAAACAGTATTTTATCCAGTCAGCCCAATAATTGACAGCATTTTATGTAATGACATCTAAGTCCTCCAGAGGTCGACGCGTTTCACTTAGTAGCTTCCTCAGGACCCCGCAAGAGTTGGAGGCAAAGAAGTCCAATGTCCTAGCTGGAAGATACATATATGTACATATATACAACATTAGTCAGATAGTTGTAATTGTTACACAATCTTTACAAAGAAAAACCTTCTCCACAAACTCACATGTCAGCATGAGGGGTAATATAGGGAGCAGCATCCACACAGCGGATACAATGGTCATAGATGAACATCCACACAGCGGATACAATGGTCATAGATGAACATCCGCACACACGGCCACCTCCCCTCGTACACGTCTAAATACAACCACAAAGAGTCAGTGGGAACATCCATGATTCCATCAATGCCACTCAGCATCCGATTGGTGGACTCATACCTGGTAATCCCAACATCAAGGTAGAGATAGGAAAGGTCCGCCCACGGGTAGTAATTATGAAGTATCACTAAATTGCTTGTCCAGCAACTCTTCTGTGTCAGTCACCAGGATCATCCGCATACGGCTACTATAATCACATAGATATGTGTCCGTATTCAACAAACGATACTGTCCCCGGCTCAGACCGCTCCATACAACCAGCCAAGTCAGATTAGCATCTGTCCTACCCACAATACACCGTGTAACGGCAATCCCTCTCTGTGTGCGTCTTTCCTCGCTGGCACCAAAACTGTCCTCTGTCAAGGCATTTAAATGATGTCATCAATCAAGGTATCACGTACCTGGTGGTGGAGGCCAATGGAGAGAGGGCTTCCCTTGCGGCTAAGTTCCAGACTCCCCTGAAAGTGGGACAGCAGGAGTCAGGCCCAAAGTGGCACAGGTCACCTGTAGGAGTGCTGGTTGGTGGTCCACTCAGAAGCACAGCTGGTGCACGGAGATAGGTCTTCAGACAGGGGTGTATTTACCACAAAGCAATCAAGGCATCTGCCTAGGGCGGCATCTTTCAGGGGGGCAGTAGCATTTGTTGAAGGGAAGGGATGGAGGAAGAGACACACACACAGCATGGGAACCAGGTGGGATCTGAGAGAGGCTGCGGGCTGCTTGATGGTGTGTCAGGAATGGGCTCACCTGCCGTGTGGGCTGCAGTACCGGTGCTTGCCAGCGGGTGTGTCAGGAATGGGCTCACCTGCCGTGTGGGCTGCAGTACCGGTGCTTGCCAGCGGGGGTGTGTCAGGAATGGGCTCACCTGCCATGTGGGCTGCAGTACCGGTGTCTGCCAGCGGGTGCTTTCAGCACCCAGAATCTCACTCCTGCAGTCAAGCCATCACCTGAGGCTGATTGCAGGAGGTGTATTTAAGCAGGACCAGGCCTGCAATCTTCACCTTGGTGTTGCTCCCATGAGCCCCTGTACCTGATCCTGTTGTCTGCCTGCCTGGTTTCTCTGCTTGACTCTGACACTGATCGAACTCCGCCTGCACCAACCCCGGCTATTCCTGACCTTTCTCCTGCCTGCTCCTTTGTGTCTTGTCTGCCCGATGGTTCCTGACCTGGCCTGCCTGACCACTCTACCCCTCCAGCCCTGACTACGCCTGTCTGTGTTCCTGAACATACTGTCATTAGTTGGAGGTTTGGCTTTGTTTGTACTGTACGTTGTATACTTGCAATTTCTGTGTTGCCTAGGGCAGCACAAAACCTAAATACACCACTGTCTGCAGACAGGAGGCGCCTATGCGTGGCATGCAAGCCCTGCCGGGATTTGGATGTTTACTGGGTAGTCAGTTCGATCCAAGGTCAGGTACCGGGTGGGAATCAGAGCAGACTAGTCAGATGGGATAGCCAAGGTCATACACAGAGGAGCGAGAGAGATAGTATCCTTTAGCCAAGCCGAGGTCAGATCAGGGGTTCAATAGAGTAGACAGGTCCAAGTGCAAGCCGAGTCGGTATCAGGAAGTCACAGGAACAAGGAATGGGGAGCTAGAGATCATCCAGCAACCAGATGAAGTGATGAGCCTCCTTATAAAGGCCGTCTGGCACCAGACTGAGGCTGATGTGTCCTTCTGCGGCCATGTAGAGTACTGGCAGAAATGCCAGATCTTCCAGAACTCCTGCCGTGGACGGGACCCTGACACAAGGCCAGAGTGATCCATCCAGCGGGAAAGAACCGCCCATCCAGCCATCTACGTCACTTCCACCCCTACCAGTCATAGGGTGGAAATGCCTCCTCACATCTAGAAGACGGCCATGACATTTATATGCTCTCCTTGATAAAACCACAGCCTCAACTATATGCACCTGAAAAGCGACCCTAAGCACAACAACAAAGCACCACACAGTGGTGAAACGTGACCACCACTCGGCTTCCACCACCTCAGCTCCACCACCTTGGTAGACCAAGGGCCAACTATGGTCCGGTCCCCCAGATATCATCCTGTGCCCAATGCTCAAACTTCATCCATTACAATCTCACTGTGTGTTCACAATGTGTTTCGGGGTGTAAATCTAAGTAAGTCTATTCTTTGCGTAAAACATAACTTGTTAAAATGACAACTTTGTGAAAAATGTCCAAACAATTTTGTGACAAGAAATTACAAAAAATAAACCATAAGAAGGAATAATAGAAAGTGTTTTGGGGTGTCATTGTCAGTATGCCTATGATGTGTGTGAGAAATAACTTATTGACAACTTTGTGTAAGAACATTTTTTTATTCAAAACCTTTTGGCAACATTTTTTTTTCCTTTTATAGACTCATTTTGCCCCATAGAAAATGCCTTGGGTGTTTGCTTTCCAAAATCGGGTCATTGTGAGGGTGTTTCCATTGTCCTGGTGCTCCAGGGCCTTCAAAAATATGATAGGTAGTCAGCAAATTAGATGTGTAATTTATGCCCCTAGACCGCCTGAACGTGCTCCTTGGACTTTGGGCCTCTCTATGCATTTAAGCTGTGAATAATCTCACACGTTATCGCCATCCTCCGGAGGAGTCATTTTCTTTCTGCATTTACCTAGAACTTGTGGCAAAAAACATCTTCAGTAGTACTCACTATACCTCTTAAACATACCTTGGGGTGTGCTACTCTCCAAAATGTGGGCATTTTGTGGGTGTTTCTCCTGTCCTGGTGCTCCAGGGCCCCCAAAAATGTGATAGGAAGTCAGGAAATTAAATGCATAATTTATTCCCCTAGAATGCCTGAAGTTGCTCCTTGGGTGTTGGGCCTCTCTATGTGTTTAGGCTGTGAGAAAGTATCACATACATGCTATCACATACTCAGAAAGAGTAGTACAATGTGTTTTTTGGGGTGTAAATCTAAGCATGCATATACTGTGTGTAAAACATAACTTGCTAAAATGACAATGTCAGGGATCCTGCTGCGGTAGCCTCTAGCACTCCACAGACCAGAATCCCCAAGGCGCGGAATCTAAGCTCCGACCTGCTTGTTCAGCAGAGCCCCTGATGGTGGGGATGGACTTGGAGCAGGCCAAGACCAGGTCACGGCCCCTGGGTTCACCCAGCTGTGGTAGAGGCACCGTTGAAGGTGTATATAGCGGGTAAGGGTCTGATGTGAAGAGGTCACAAGAGCAGCGTCAGGCAGGCCGGGTCGGTAACAGTGGTGGCGGTGTAGTACAGAATCAGCAGGCAGAGGGATAAACAGGTCACAAGCCGGGTTCAGTAACAGGAGGTCAGAACATATGGGGTTAAGCGGGAGAATGGTCAGACAAGCCAGGGATCAGAGCAGGAGACGGACAGCAAATCAGGGTCAGGCAGGGTCGGCAACAAACAATCTACTCACAGGAACTCAGGAACACAGATAAGACCTTATGGCACTTGAGCATTGCAAGAGCCGGGTTTAAATAGCCCGCCCGACTCCTGACAGGCGCTCCTGGGTCCTAGTGCTTGCCCAGCGCCGTCATTTGTGACAGGCGCGCCTGGGTCCTAGTGCCCGCCTGCCTGTACGTTTTTTCAGGATTCTACGCATGTGCAGATTCGATCGCTGCGGCGATCTTCCCATTCCCTGACAGACAGCTTTGTGAAAAAGTTCCAAAAAATTGTGACAAAAAATTACAAATTAAAAAAAGCATGCCTGTCCTGACATTTGGGGGGTATTTGTACCATCCTGGCATTTGGGGGGTATTTGTACCATCCTGGCATTTGGGGGGTATTTGTACCGTCCTGACATTTGGGGGGGATTTGTACCGTCCTGACATTTGGGGGGATTTGTATTGTCCTGACATTTGGGGGGATTTGTACCATCCTGACATTTGGGGGGTATTTGTACCGTCCTGGCATTTGGGGGGTATTTGTACCGTCCTGGCATTTGGGGGACTTGTACCGTCCTGACATTTGGGGGGATTTGTACCGTCCTGACATTTGGGGGGATTTGTACCGTCCTGACATTTGGGGGGATTTGTACCGTCCTGACATTTAGGGGGGTTTGTACCGTCCTGACATTTGGGGGGGTTTGTACCGTCCTGACATTTGGGGGGATTTGTACCGTCCTGACATTTGGGGGGATTTGTACCGTCCTGACATTTGGGGGGATTTGTACCGTCCTGACATTTGGGGGGATTTGTACCGTCCTGACATTTGGGGGATTTGTACCGTCCTGACATTTAGGGGGGTTTGTACCGTCCTGACATTTGGGGGGATTTGTACCGTCCTGACATTTGGGGGGATTTGTACCGACCTGGCATTTGGGGGGATTTGTACCGTCCTGACATTTGGGGGATTTGTACCATCCTGACATTTGGGGGGGATTTGTACCATCCTGACATTTGGGGGGGATTTGTACTGATCTGACATTGGGGGGATTTGTACCGTCCTGACATTTGGGGGGATTTGTACTGTCCTGACATTTGGGGGGATTTGTACCATCCTGACATTTGGGGGGGATTTGTACCGTCCTGACATTTGGGGTGATTTGTACCGTCCTGACATTTTGGGGGGTATTTGTACCGTCCTGACATTTGGGGGGATTTGTGGCAGCACAGTGGCTAAATGGTTAGCATTTCCGCCTGGCAGTACTGGGGTCATTGATTCAAATCCCAACCACGGCACCACCTGCCAGGAGTTTGCATGTTCTCCCTGTGCCTGTGTGGGTTTCCTCCGGGTACTCCGGTTTCCTCCCACACTCCAAAGACATGCTGGTAGATGAATTGGCTCCTGTCTAAGTTTGCCCTAGTATGTGTATGTATGAATGTGAGTTAGGGACCTTAGATTGTACGCCCCTTGAGGGTTCGGGACTGATGTGAATGTACAATATATGTGTAAAAACGCTGCATAAATTGATGGTGCTATATAAGTAATTGAAATAAATAAATAATTTGTACTGTCCTGACATTTGGGGGATTTGTACTGTCCTGACATTTGGGGGGATTGTACTGTCCTGACATTTGGGGGGGATTTGTACTGTCCTGACATTTGGGGGATATCTGTACTGTCCTGACATTTGGGGGGATTTGTACTGTCCTGACATTTGGGGGGGATTTGTACTGTCTTGACATTTGGGGGGATTTGTACTGTCCTGACATTTGGGGGGGATTTGTACTGTCCTGACATTTGGGGGGATTTGTATCGTCCTGACATTTGGGGGGATTTGTACCGTCCTGACATTTGGGGGGATTTCTACCGTCCTGACATTTTGGGGGGATTTCTACTGTTTTAGGGCCATAAGAAATGATACCGGCTGTCAGTACATCAGGATTGATCGATTTGTATATATCCCGTAGTTTGCAGACACAGACTAAATAATAAACACTGATTTTGGTTTTTAATAGAAACGTTCTGCGCTGCTATAGGTATAGATAGGACTACTGAAAAAAGCTGCAAACACCTCGACCCGACACCAGCAGCACAAGGAGACAAAAATAACATGGTGTTGTGCTAATATCAATAATACTATTGGAAGAGCGAGGAGACAGAAATAATATCCCCAAAACAGAGGAGATCGGTATAAAGGCTGAATCCAGACATGATGAGGTGCAATACGAACTGTGACAAAGACAACGTGAGGAATAATCAGCAAGTGAACATAAATAATACATGGAAAGGCCTGAACCCCGACCAGACTAAGTGCAATACGGATTGTGATGAAATACAACGTGAACAATAGTCACCAAGTGAACATAAATGATGTATTCAACATAACAGGACTAACACGTCCTAAATAAAAGGGCACAAAAAGCGCCGTGCATAGAAACCTGACAATCAAAAAGCAAACAAATATATGTGCAAAACTAATTAGACCCTGATGAAGTCACGGGACAGTGACGTAACGCATGGGTCTGCTAGCGGAGCGTGGTGATGGACCCTGATGAATTCACAGGACAGTGATGTAACACATGGGTCTGTTAGCGGAGCGCGGTGGTGGACCCTGATGAAGTCACGGGACAGTGACGTAACACGTGGGTCTGCTAGCGGAGCGTGGTGATGGACCCTGGGGAAGTCTGATGGACCCTGATAAAGTCACGCGACAGTGACGTAACACATGGGTCTGTTAGCGGAGCGTGGTGATGGACCCTGATGAAGTCACGGGACAGTGACGTAACGCGTGGGTCTGCTAGCGGAGCGTGGTGATGGACCCTGATGAAATCACGGAACAGTGACGTAACGCGTGGGTCTGTTAGCGGAGCGTGGTGATGGACCCTGATGAAGTCACGGGACAGTGACGTAACGCGTGGGTCTGTTAGCGGAGCGTGGTGATGGTCACTGCCATTTTGGTACACCCTGGAAGTATAAACCCATATCAATACATGTGTTTGAGGCCTGATTTCAACTGATGTGACGTAAGTGTTCATTTGGCACTTCTCCATTAAAGTTTTTGCTTTGAAATGACTACACTATGGGGGCGCTCTCTCTTTCTCCTCAGGGGTGCGTCTGAGCCGGCTGATGTTCCTGGGAAAAAGATTTCCAGTTTCAACACCGCTGAAATCATTGCGGTTATACGGTGAGGAAGGCCATATTCCTGGGATCGGTGTAATTCCATCATCTTGGATATCAGGGCCCTGGGAGTGTGATGCCTGAAAGCTGTGTGGCCCCTTGGGGTGTTGGTGTGGAGGTGAGGAGGTATTTATCATTCATTTCACCCAGTTTGTTGGTTTGGAGTTGGCGGTCTATCCCCATGGACTTCATGCCGATTCGATGATCACTTATGTGTATTTTGATGGTCGCTCATTATTTGTTATATGTCGCGTTGCTTTCATTATTATTTGTTGTGCTTATTGACGCACGTTTATTTCCTCTGTGCGTTTGTCACCGGCATCCATCCTGATTATAAGGGGCATTTGTAGTTTCCTGCTCCTTGTATGATTAGTTTTGTACATATATTTCTTTGCTTTTTGATTGTCAGGTTTCTCTGCACGGCGCTTTTTGTGCCCTTTCATTGAGGACATGTTAGTCCTGTTATATAGAATACATTATTTATGTTCACTTGGTGACTATTGTTCACGTTGTATTTCATTACAATCCATATTGCACTTAGTTTGGTCGGGGTTCAGGCCTTTACATGTATTATTTACAGTGGGGATGGAAAGTTTGGGCACCCCAGCTAAAAAATTGTATTAATGTCCATAAAGAAGCCAAGGAAAGATGGAAAAATCTCCAAAAGGCATCAAATTACAGATTAGACATTCTTATAATATGTCAACAAAAGTTAGATTTTATTTCCATCATTTACACTTTCATAATAACAGAAAACAAAAAAATGGCGTCTGCAAAGGTTTGGGCCCCCTGCAGAGTTAATATCTTGTACTGCCCCCTTTGCCAAGCTGAGACCTGCCAGTGTCATGGATTGTTCTCAATCATCGTCTGGGAAGACCAGGTGATGTCAATCTCAAAGGTTTTAAATGCCCCGACTCATCTGACCTTGCCCCAACAATCAGCACCATGGGTTCTTCTAAGCAGTTGTCTAGAAAACTGAAACTGAAAATAGTTGACGCTCACAAAGCTGGAGAAGGCTATAAGAAGATAGCAAAGCGTTTTCAGATGTCAATATCCTCTGTTCGGAATGTCATTAAGAAATGGCAGTCATCAGGAACAGTGGAAGTTAAAGCAACGTCTGGAAGACCAAGAAAAATATCAGACAGAACAGCTCGCAGGATTGTGAGAAAAACAATTCAAAACCCACGTTTGACTGCACGATCCCTCCAGAAAGATCTGGTAGACACTGGAGTTGTGGTCACTATTCCACTATAAAGAGATACTTGTACAAATATGGGCTTCATGGAAGAGTCATCAGAAGAAAAACCTCTTCTACGTCCTCACCACAAAAATCATCGTTTGAACTTTGCAAATGAACATATAGACAACCCTGATGCATTTTGGAAACAAGTTCTGTGGACCGATGAGGTTAAAATTGAACTTTTTGGCCGGAATGAGCAAAGGTACATTTGGAGAAGAAGGGGCACAGAATTGAATGACAAGAACCTCTGTCCAACTGTGAAGCATGGGGTTGGATCAATCATGCTTTGGGGTTGTGTTGCAGCCAGTGGCACAGGGAACATCTCACGAGTAGAAGGAAAAATGGATTCAATAAAATTTCAGCAAATTTTGGATGGTAACTTGATGCCATCTGTGAAAAAGCTGAAGTTAAAGAGAGGATGGCTTCTACAAATGGATAATGATCCTAAACACACCTGGAAATCCACGGGGGATTACATCAAGAGGTGTAAACTGAAGGTTTTGCCATGGCCTTTACAATCTCCTGACCTCAACATCATTGAAAATCTATGGATAGACCTTAAAAGAGCCGTGCGTGACAGACAGCCCAGAAATCTCAAAGAACTGGAAGACTTTTGTAAGGAAGAATGGGCAAAGATACCTCAAACAAGAACTGAAAGACTCTTGGCTGGCTACAAAAAGTGTTTACAAGCTGTGATACTTGCCAAAGGGGGCAGTACAAGATATTAACTCTGCAGGGGGCCCAAACTTTTGCAGACGCCATTTTTTTGTTTTCTGTTATTTTGAAAGTGTAAATGATGGAAATAAAATCTAACTTTTGTTGACATATTATAAGAATGTCTAATCTGTAATTTGATGCCTTTTGGAGATTTTTCCATCTTTCCTTGGCTTCTTTATGCACATTAATACACATTTTTAGCTGGGGTGCCCAAACTTTCCATCCCCACTGTATGTTCACTTGGTGACTATTGTTCACGTTGTCACAATCCGTATTGCACTTAGTCTGGTCGGGGTTCAGGCCTTTCCATTTATTATTTCTGTCCACTTGCTGATTATTGCTCACGTTGTCACAGTTCATATTGCACCTCATCATGTCTGGATTCAGCCTTTATACTGATCCCCTCTGTTTTGGGGATATTATTTCTGTCTCCTCGCTCTTCCAATAGTACTATTGATATTAGCACAACACCATTTTATTTTTGATTTTGGTTTTTGTTACCAAGAAAATGGAGCAGAATACATTTTGGTGTAAATTTAGGAAGAAAGATTATTTATTTGTAAAATTTTATAACAGAAACAAAGAAACACTTTTTTTTTCTAATTATTAGGTCATTTGTCTCTATATTGTAAATAATGAAAACCTCCCGCGGGGATGACATTCCCCCAAAACAAAGATGGATCAGAAACATAATAGAAAGTGTCATTTGGGTGCCGTGTTGTGTGACAGAATAATTGTCATTCAAAGTGTGACAACCCTGAAAACAGAACAATGTCCCTGAGCAGGAAGGGGGGACAGTCCACTCTGGAAGGGGATTAGTAATGGGACATACTTGGGGCCCTCAGATAGAGCCGGGACAGGACATAAAGGACAACAAGGGCCCCCCATGAATGCTCCACAAGGTGGTCACCTCTTTTACCAAACATTTGGGTCAGCCTGGCCCCAGACCTTACAAAATATTTGGGGCCCCCAGAGATTGTTATATTATCCATCATTCCTGGCAATGTGACAAACTTGAGAATATCACATACTTTGGGGCCCCCGGCCATGTGACAGATTTGGCCCCCAGCTTCCCTCAGACTCTTCCAGAAAGATAAAGTGACAGATTAACTCCGTGTTCTCCTCTCTCCCATCTGATTGGGGGCAGCAGTGCGGAGTGTGAGAGCCGGAGCAACCAATCAGAGGGGGGAGTGCAGGCAGCACTGTGATGTCTATTACTGATCAG